GGAGACGGTCGTTAGGAAAGATGAAACAAGCTGGATACCATGTTACTCTCCCTCAACGGGGGACTGAATCCCTGTGTGAGAGAGAGAAAGGGAAGCAAGGGATGAATTATATTCCTGACAAAAAAAATCTGTGTGCCTTGTTACTGTTGCTATCTGTAACAGAACTCTCGACAGCGTCCAGCTAGATACATAAAAAATATTCCCCTCCTTTTCATTAGACCGGGTGTGTTTATGGGGCAGTGACGAAAATCAAAATGGAGCTTTTTAGTTTATCTGCTTGTAGTGGGCAGTACAGCGACATCTTTGCAGCTCGAAGCTGATGACCCAGGGGTGCTGGTGTGGGGGAGGGGCACCGTGTTATCAGTTCCTGGCATTTTGATGTCCGCAATATGCAAATCTCTTTTGACCCCCCCCCCCCTCCTTCTTGTCTTTCCCGGCTTTCAATGTCCATGGGAAAAAAAAAACAACAACAAAAAAAAAAACACGCTGACAACATCAGAAAGAGAATGCGGGAAAAAAAGGGGAACGGCAGATTATCAGCTACTGGAGTGTTTGTGATGTTTGTGGTAAAGCTAGCTTTTGTCGAATGGGATTAAGCGACTTAGGCAGGACGTTCTGCCCCTTTGTCCACGTAGACCTTCGACTTCAAGACAGGAAACCGGAGAGCGATACCCTCCCCTTTCAGAGGGCGGTGGAATCTATTCTCACAGAGCGGAGCTGGATGAAAGCGAGGCAATCGCTTCGGGCTTCGCTGAATTCTCGCCCCTGCATTTATCAATGTATTTTTCTACATTGTAAAACGCATTTTCTTTCACTCTCTTGGGAAACTGGGGATGTGGGGGCGGGGGGGGGGATTGGGGCACAAATGTGCTTCTGTAACATACAGTTGTTATTCGCACACCTGGTCACCTTGGAAGTGGCCACAGTAACAGAGAATCAGAGAATAAGGAGGGGAAAGAAATTGGAAAAAAACATTCTTCTGGAGGCTTTTCTTAGCATCAAAGTTAGCATTGAGTATGCGGATTTGTCTGGCAGCAGCGCTCCTGAACTGCAGGACAGAAAAGGCCCTTTGAATGTTCCATTGGGGAGCTACAGTGTTCCATGGTAGATACACTTTAAACAAAAAAAGAAAAACACTTCCTTTGTTATGTGTAAGCATCGACCGAAATGGTCCCTTGGAGCATTCCAAGGGGTTTCAAAAAAGTATGGTCTCCGGGGATCCCTTAGGAGGATTTTGAAACAATTAAAAAAAAAAAATCTCTCTTTTTTGGATGATTTTATAATTTTTTTCCCTTTCTTTCTTGATTCTATCTTTACTCTCCAACGATTTGACGTAACCTTGTTGTATGTCTTTGACCGTTTAATAAAAAAAAGAAAAATGGAGGGTTGCCGTAACAACCTTACACGTTACACTCCCAGGTAAAGTGAAAAAATCTGCCTTACAGTGAAAGAATGAGACCCCACCCCCGACTGCTGAAATCCGCCATTATTTTTCATCCAATACAGAATTATTACTTCCTGCTGTTATTAAATGGAGAAGAACTTGTTTCACTTTCACTATCAGAGCTCCCGATGTTTAATGCTAGAGTAAGCATTCAGCTGTCTTGGCAGCTTGAACCTGGTCCCTTTAGGAGCGCTGTAAGGTTGTATGCAATAAGAGCACGCATTAATCCGCTCACCGCAAGCCGCGCCAGGCTGACCTTGTGCGCATCCTCGCTGACCCGACAGCGTACGGCGGCTCTCTGCCTCCCAGCTATATATGCTGTACTTCCTCCCTAGTGACATTACAGGCGGCTAGGCCGGACTCCTTACTGTATACTCTCGATGCTTACCTGCAGCGCTGTTCCTGAAAGTTTTACAGTAGAGAAAATAAAGTCATAGAGAAAATAATGTAGGAAAAAAACAGCAGTTAGTTATGAGAGATTGTAATTCTATCGATGCGTGTCAATCAGTTGGGCTTTTTCATGTCTGTATATTAACGATAAATGCTGTAATACATACAGACATGGAAAGCTTAAAATGTATTTTGGTATCTTTTGGCACTTTTCCACTGCTGCCAATAACCAAGCCGCACCCAAGCCGAACCATGAAGAGATGATTTTCCAGTATAAATCATGCCAGCTGTACCTGACTAGTACAGACCAGCAAGCTGGTTGTGTTTGTACCATCTGATTGGTTGAAATATGCAGAGACAAGAAAGAACCAGTGATCTGCATTGATAAGCCTGGATTTTTAAAGGAATAAAGAGGATATATTCTATATATTATTCATTATGAGTGTCGCACATCGTGATATATTGATGCATTTCCCATAACTCGGAACTTGAAAATTTTCAAGCTCCTACTTGAAGAAGTACTATAGAATGACTGAATGGAAGGGATTCACAATGCAAATTTACGCAAGCTAATGCTAATCCCACTAATGTTTGATGCTAACATAATATGGCGAAATTCACAGATGTGCCAGCAGAAATGATTAAATTAGTAAATCATGTTGCACACCGTGTGAGCAGCAAACAAGCATCTCCTTGGTTTTATGACACTGTCACTCTGCTGTAACTAGTGTCTCTTCACGTACGGGTCAGCTACAGCCTGGTTCCCATATGCTGGTGGAAAAGTGCTGTTAGCACTAACCCCGTATATTTATGGATTTAGTCTGTGTGTTCTGGATAATAGTGGAAAAACACAGACAGGAGCCACCAATTGGTTCTTCTGTAGGAATGTTTGGGGAATATTTTGGTAGGAACATGTGTTTTTAGTTAGACGACAGGCACGACCTTTGCACTTTTGTTGCATGTGAGGTGAAATACCGTTGCACACCTCGACCAGGAATGTAAGAACGCACCTCCATGGTGCAGCCCTTGTTTGTATGTAGCTATTATTTATTAACAAAGACATAACTATAAAGGCGAGTCTTGCGCTCCCAGCTGCACAGATCTTTCCACCCCTTTACAAATTCTGTGTCCACTAATTGTATAACCTCCTTGTGAGCAAATAATGTGTTCGCTCCCCAGCCAACAGAATATTTTGTGTTAGCTTTGGCCTTGCAATTTCTTCTGAGAAGTACCGTGAAACTGGCAGCTTTGATACACCGCTCACATCCATGACTGCCACTGTCAGAAGACGTTCCACACCAGGAAAGGCAGCAGAGCAGCTGAAACGGCCTCCTGTAATGTCAGGAAGAAATGTCGGCGTGAAGCAGGGCCATTGTGACCAGAGTATTGTCAAAGCGTGTCAGGGGTGGCGAGCCTCCGGCAGCGGAACCCAGGAGAACCCGGGGAAAAGATGATAATCAGTTTTTCAGATGCACACAGGAGATCTTATTTGATCAAGCATGAAGCCTTTGCAGCCAAAGAACAAAAAACAAGATGCCGCGTGATACCTGATGTGCTTTTCCATGTGTTCAGATAATTCTACAATATAATACTGCTTTTGACTGACTACACTTTCTCTCCAAGATGTTATTTAACAGATGCAACAATCCTCATCTATGACCCAAGCTCAGCTAAAGAACTAGAGGAGTATCACAGCAGTTAATTGATACATTTTTTGTTCAGTGATGGAAGACAAAGAAGTTGATGAATATTAGCATATTAATTATTATTTATCACTTACAAATTTGTATTGTATATGGGAAAACATATAGTTTATGACACCAGTCAGAAGAGTTTGTAATTGCAGCTTTAATGGTGTTTGATTTTTCCTTCACTAAAAAAATCAAACTCTTATCAAATATACATGCCTTTTAAAAATTTGAATCGATGCTTTTCTTAAGTTTAGTTCAAGTTTAACTTCAACCATTTCAGAAAAAGTAAAACTGTTCATGTTTTGTTTGCCGTACATTTTTATAGATATGTATTTCGTAGATATGCAGATATATATCTACAAAGATACATATATGTGAATATGTGTGCATATGGACTCGTTTATGTGTGATTTTTTTACAGAGGTCAGTGGACACGATGGGTGAATTTGTGCCAGATGTTGCTGCTTGGTAGAAATCATCATTTTGTACTGAGGTCATCATGTTACATCATGAATATAAATATTATTCAGAATCTGCAATGTTGTAGGCAAGAAAATGTATTGGATAAACTGCTCTTTATTTTAGTCTCCTGTGTCATTTCTTTCCAGTAACCTCCAGACAAATGGCCAACAGCGAATTATCTGAATCAGCAATGTGTATTAGATACATAAAAAATAAATCGAACAAAAACGGATTTTCAAGCAGTCAGTGCAGGATTCTTGTTCCCAAGTCAATGTAACAAGTTACCTCAAGTCAATTATTGACACTTTATTATACATTGGTTTGGAAAAACATGGGGAAATTTAATTGTAGAATTTGCTTCATTTGAATGTTTGTTCCAGCTTGGGGAGAAAATGCAAGCATTTGTGTGGACATGTAATTTTACCCTCTGGTGGAAATGATCTTTGTGTATGCTCAACTGATATCAAGGCGCTCAGTGTTTCTGCATCTTACCGACATCCATACTAGATTTAGAATTATTAGAACATGACAGTGTGAATTTGAAAAGCTTCTTGAAACAAAAAACAAAAAAAAGCATGACTGAAAAAAAAGCAAAAAAGAAGTGTTATTTCTCACTAATCAAAATTCAGTTGTTTGTTTTTTTTTTTGTATATTTCACAGGATTATTTGTTATTCTTTTTTAATCTATTACTTCAGTTCTTGTTATCCAGATTAAAATTTAAAGTAGAAATACATGTAGAGGTCAATGTCTGAGGGATCATTGCATCCCTCTACTATGTTGTCTGAGCAAAAATATTAAGTGAATAGAGGATAGGGAGAGTTGTATTTAATATTGAGGTTAAAAAATGCTGCTAGTTGTTTTTAGTAATGTCGTAATTTAGTGATTTCGTTGCGCCATAAATGGACACTTTGCATCGTTTGGCTCTTGACATTTGTACAAACTGACTGCCATCACCAAGGTGATCTTAATTATGCTAATTTTTGCTTCTCTGTCTCTCTTTTCGTTCTGACAGGTCCTAGTAACGCCATCTTACCATTCTGGCTCTGTAGCACATTTCGACGCATCTGTATTGAAGGCAGTTTCCCTTCTACTGGTCCTCGAGAAGGAACAGTCAAGCAAAACGTTCCCAGCTATCATCTCCTGGCATCATATTTTTTTGGGGGTGGTGACTTTTTCCCATCAAGGCCCCAATGAGGCTGTGTAACCCGCAGATCTACAGTGTGGTGGGCATGGTGATACTGTTCCTCTACCCATGGGACATTGGATGCTTGGGCCTGAGCTCTGGTTCCGGTCCCCTGACCCATCGCCTCCAGGCCTCGGGGATCACCGGCACGGCCATGCGGAGACAGAAGCGGAGCTGGGTGTGGAACCAGTTCTTTGTTCTGGAGGAGAATATGGGCAGCGACCCACTCTATGTGGGCAAGGTGAGGCGGTTTAACCTTTATACCTTTCAGATAAGCATGTGTGGCCGTGCAGAGTATTATAATGTGGGTCACCTCTCTCAGTCGTACATGGAGACAAAAAGAGGCGCATTATATCAAACTGTGACTGTGAGCCGACTGCTTATCCAGTACCAAAATGGGTCGGGGTGGGATGGAGTGGCACGCAGTACACAGTGTAAGGCAGGGGCATACTCAGGGCAGGATTCCAGTCCACTACAGGGCACTAACATAGTTTAAAGATGCCAGGTAACCAAACTGCATGTCTTGGGACTGTGGGAAGAAACCAGGGAACTGAAAGGAAACCCACATGTCACGGGGGGAACATGTAAACTCCACACAACATGGGGGGAACATGCAAACTCCGCACGACACGGGGGGAACATGGAAACTCCACACGACACGGGGGGAACATGCAAACTTCGCACGACACGGGGGGAGCATGCAAACTCCACACAACACGGGGGGAGCATGCAAACTCCACACGACTCGGGGGGAACATGTAAACTCCACACGACTCGGGGGGAACATGCAAACTCCGCACGACACGGGGGGAACATGTAAACTCCACACGACACGGGGGGAGCATGCAAACTCCACACGACTCGGGGGGAACATGCAAACTCCGCACGACACGGGGGGAACATGTAAACTCCACACAACATGGGGGGAACATGCAAACTCCACACGACTCGGGGGGAACATGTAAACTCCACACAACATGGGGGGAGCATGCAAACTCCACACGAAACCGGGGGAACATGTAAACTCCACACAACATGGGGGGAACATGCAAACTCCACACGACTCGGGGGGAACATGTAAACTCCACACGAAACCGGGGGAACATGCAAACTCCACACGAAACCGGGGGAACATGCAAACTCCACACGAAATGGGGGGAACATGCAAACTTGCTGAATTGTCCATAGGTGTGAATGGTGTGCATGTATTCCCCATGATTTTTTACTTTGATATCATCATTCATATGTTATTATGACATATTATTTTGTATATGTATAGATTAAAAATACTAATAAGTTCGGAGCTGTTTTACCAAAACCATACTCTGAAACATTTGTTCATAGTGATTTTATTGTATTGATGCCAAAGAAGCAGCATGTTGAATTCATGTCATCCTTTATGAGATCAATGGACTGGTCGGTATGATATGAAAATGTTAATATTATTTATGATCTTGGTGAGATGAGGAGGGATATGCACTGCGGCAGATAAAACACATTCCCCTGGTCCCAGTCAGATGAAATGTAACCATACCTGCAACTTCAAATACGTTTTGTGCTTCTAGCCGGTTTTTTGTTGCTGTCTCAAGCAGTTTTAAAATATATGATTTTTTTTTTTCTGAAATTTGGATCGTGCAACTCACAGCTCCTTTGAGACGACTGTGAGACATTATTATGTCATTCCTTTCTAAAAATACTTATATACTCTCCTTAACAGGTGCTAAATACAGTCATGGTTTATATACTGTATGTTGTATATCAGAATATAATATGCTAATGGAAATCCTGCCCTGGACAAGCAGTATGAATGATGGATGGATGGATGGATGGATGGATGGAAGGATACTAATTAGACATCCATAGCTAAATCACTAATGTGGGTTATTACTTTATAACAGTTTTGTGATTAATGCTTGTTCCTTACTCAAATTGGATGTTATACTTTCTGAAATCACACTAATTGATCATGTCCATTGATTCATTATGATTTTGTTAATTCACTAGATGAATGAAGATGGTACCTCCCTGGCCTTTTCAACAGGGCCCAATCATGCCGCAATCACAAATTAGTTCCTGTCTGCAAATTCTCCGTGGCTCGTACACATTTCCTCATCAAGAACCCGAATCCCAAACACTTAATATTAATTGCCAGTGTATTTGATGAAAACATGCATTGCTCACTGTGGAACAGCCATATGTGCAGTTTTCTGTTCAGCAGCCATATATGTTTTCTGTTTGGGGATGAACAGTATGGGGATAAATAAATTGTATTCCACCTTGAGTAGGTTTGTGTTGTCAAAAAGTTTAAATATTCCTTAGCTTGCCCAGCAGAACGGCTGTGAAGGATATTTATATGATTTTGTTGGTAACTGCAGGTAAATTCCTTTTAAAATCCGATGTTAAACTTGACTATTTTTGCAGGATAACTTTAACTTCACCGGGTTATTTTTCACGAACTAGGACTGCCTCTGTAGAGAACATTTATGAGCAGACTGCTTTGAAACGCTCCCCCTGTTCCCAGCACTTACCAGTTGCTAAAATTTGCCACCAGTAACTCAGTAGCTGCTCTATTTTTTCCCTGTTGGCTTTCAGGCTGATGCCCTGAAGTTGTAGGCAGTGTTTACAGACCGTGTTTGAAAGGGGGTTTCAAAATCCCTGAGTTGCGACACATATATTTAGGGAAAGTGCTTCTTCTTGGATGTCAATCAACATCGACGATACAGTACATGCTTTTTATTACACTAAGCTAGAGCGATTTTGGAGGTGGAGCTATCCAGACGTTTGCCTTTGCAATCCAACAATTGTACCAGTGCCTGAGTGGCTCAGCATATTACATTACCTGAAATATAGGATCTGATGACAAAGATTTTGCAGAATATGAGCAAGATATGGAGTTAGAGGATTAAGTTCAGGACCACAGGCTATGGTGGAGAAATCCCTTATGTGGGGATTTCAGCTGTGCGAATCAGCAACAATAAGAATCAAATACATCCAATAACTGTGACGGGGCAGCATACATCCCAAAATATTTTTCCTCTAAAATAATATTAGAGAATTTTTGGCACTCATAACAGGTCTATTCTGTGTATTTTTATGTATTCTTTTGTGAGAAGATGATTCCGTATTACAAAAAAAAAAAAAATGTACCCGTCATAATATTTATGCATCACACACTGCAATACACCCCCCCTCCCCACCTCAAGGCCAGTTGTGAGCACCCTTCTGTGATTCTCTGCCAAAGTCAGTGTTCTTTTTGCACATTGCATGTCACATGCTATTGTGTAGGAGAGTCAGTGTTGTGTGGGGAGAGTCAGTGTTGTGTGGGGAGAGTCAGTGTTGTGTGGGGAGAATGCTTCTCTCTGCAGCCCGCATATATCTGGAAGGCCACTAGGAAGCGCTAGTAGAGGTGTGCAGCTGACTGTCTCCCCCACAGGCAAGATGATGCCAGTTATTTTCTGCTTTTTGGAGCCACCCAACCATAAAAAGATTTAACCCACCATTTGGACTGCAGGATTTAAAGTTAAATGCTAGCTATTAGCCGTGAAGCTAAAATAATAATAACAATAATAATAATAATAATAGAAATAAAAAAGCTTTCCGTAGGTCTCATTCGACAGGGGTTTCAGTGATAAAAATGCTCAGCAGAAAATCCAGTTTACGTTGACATTAAATGGCAATTTGGGTGTGTCTGAGAACTGTGGATTAGCTGTGCATGCTCAAATAGGTTCTTTCCGAAGTCAAGCTCTTTTGTTTTGTTACAGCAGAAATGTGATGCACATTTCCCTCTCTCTTCTCCTCACACTCGCGTCCCTCTCTGTCATGCCCCCCCCCCCCCCCCCCCCCCCCCCCCCCCCCCCCCCCCCTTACCTAACTAAAATTTGCCTCCGTTGTCCATATCACGCAGCATGGCCGCGAGGGACGAGCATTAGCTAAAAATGATGTGTGCGTCAGATCGCTTGACCCGCGAGTAAATGGTGTCAGATGTGATGGCAGAGTTGCTGAACGTTTGCAAGGCATGAGGTGATGCAGGGAACAAGGGACCACAGGGAGACAGATAACCTGCAAATCAGATTACAAACAAAAAATAGGAAAACAGCACGCATTGGACATTTAAATTTATTCCAGCTAGCAGGTTAGAAACTAAATAAACTCTGAAAAAGAACAGCTATAAAGTATTATTATTAGCTTTTCTTTCGTCGCTGTACTCGAGCGTGATTTTTAGGAGCTCGGCAGGAATCCACCTGAATCACCTCTATGTTCACCATCTCCTGAAGCTGATGTGCTACATCAGTGAAATAATTAGCTTACTGTGGTAAGACCTTTAGAGGAGATGAGACAGTCAGACTGTTTATCTGTGCGAAAGCAATAGGTTTAAAACACAGTCTAAACCTCTGATATACATCCAGTAAAGAAAAAGTCTTATGAGTCTGATTTATCTGCCTGGGGAATTTAAATCTTATATATTCGATCTGCTAATATGCGGTGATACAATTTTATCTGGAGGTACATAAAACTATCCAATAATTAATTTTTTCTTGCTTTCGTATTCTTAAGGAAAGTCTAAGGCAATAAGTGAGGACTTCTTGAGAGCTTTGATTAGAGTTTTAAATGGCGCTAAATTTAGGCATTCATAGTATGTAATATGTCAAGTGCTTCTACTGTCTTCAAGTTGCATATGAATTACTAGAGCACTGGGCCTTTACATGCCCATATGACTCCAATACACAACAAATCACTGGGACTATTGATCTTATATCCAGTCTTTTTTGACAGACCTATACACAGAACTAGGAAGATAAGTTTTATTGAACTTCGTTCTCTCTAGTAAAACACAGAGGACAACATGATCAACCCAGGTGTCTTTAATATTGCTTATGCAGAAGAGGGTTGCTGGAGGTTTGCTCTCACATCACTGGGCACAAATCAGGGTATACCCTGCATGGGGCAGACAAAATTGAATAAACTCAGATCTTCTTAGGAAATTAATTAAACTGGATGTTTATTTGCACCTGGGTGAAAATAGTCACACAGGCACCTATTTGGCTATTTACACCTAGCCTCCTCACTTCCTGCCGCGGGCTTCATAAAAAAACATAAACACTGTGTTGCTTGTATGGTCGAACGTCACTTCAGTGGCTGAAAGGTGCCAAAGTGGGTTGCATTAAAGGTAGGGTACAGTAAACACTATGTACCATTGTCCTAGCAATAGTTAGCTAGCCGAAGGCTAATTAGCATTAGCAC